GCCAGCTGTCGAGGAGACCGTCAGCCACATCCTGGACAAATTCGAGGGGTGGTGTGGGAGGGGTCGGTGAAGTGGAGGGGGATGGTGATGGTGGCGGTGGGAGGTCAGAAAAGTCCATAAGGTCGTCGAAGAAGATGCCGCCGATGCCGCGATGCTCCTGTCGTGCTGGCAGATAGAAATACTCATCGCACCACTTCTTGTACCTCGGGTACAGGTCAGGGCTGTACTTGTCACACACACCTCGCCAGTGCTTGTGCCACTCGATCGCGTCCTCCTCGAACAGATAGCATGGTGTCAGATCGGCACCACCGCCGAACCATCCCTGTGGCTCGCTGTGTCCATCATCAGCCACCTCAAAGTAGCGGACGTCGGCTCTCAATGTGGGGACCATTGGATGGGCTGCGTGGACGACGAGCGACAGTGCTGCGGCACAGTAAGGCTGCCCCCCTCCCTCACGCACCTTCCGCCCTCTGCTGCTCATGGTCCTAGCCCTTTCCTCGGTCAGCGTCCCCTGGATGATGGAAACGCTGACAGCCCCCTTCTCGATCAAAGACCCACCCTCCAGCACTCCTGTCACGCCGTAAGTAGTGTCGCTCCGCCGCCAGTCATCGAGGCGGAACATTGCAGTGCCGTCAAGAGCTTCAAGATCCTGCACAATGGTCTTCTGCCTTTGCAGGATGAAATCCCGGAATTTCTCGAAGGTGCGCGAAGGTGCCACAGACGGTGTGGCAGCTGCCGTGATGGGAGATGGAGTGGGAGCAGCGAATGCGCCGCCGCGTGGCAGCCTGATGCCTACACCGTCGGCTGCCCCCAGAAGCGACAGAAGGACGATCAGAGCAGGGCCTGACATGGATAATCTTGACATGTGAGCCTCCGATCTGCCTTCACGGCTCCTCCCAAGACCTGAATCACACGTGCAGATACGAAAGGAAGATGGTGATGGTTTGCAATGATTGAACGAACCTGACGGTTCCATCTGGGCCAGACGAGAATGGGAGAGAGGGAGAGTGAAAAGCTGAGAGGAAAGAAAGGGAGATCCCCCAAGCTTAGCTCGCAGACCTTTCGGTAGCTCGCAAAAGAAGTGGGTGGTTTCCTTCCGAGGGAAGCGTGTGTGTGTCATCCATCCTATCCCCACTCAACTCACGCTCCCCGTCTTATCCGCCCCTCCCCTCCTATCCCCTTCCCACCGCCTCCTTTCCCGCCGGCAGCGAGTGAGTCGGGCTTTTTTCGGTGGCTGCCACCGGCCACATGGGGCAAGCGCAGGTGGGTGTTGGTCCCAGCCCAAGCAACAGGCCTCGGGACGAGGTCCTCGTCTACAACAATGGCGATCGCTATGCGGGAGGCGTCATGCGCGACGCCCGACACGGGTTCGGCACCTACTGGTACAGAAACGGCGACAAATACGAAGGGTGAGTGCCGCACACGCACACACGAGACACACTGCACGAGGCGACGAAGCGTCGTGTCTCACCTACACACCACACACTGCCGTCCCGTCGCACACCAGACACTTCACTTGATGATTCCTCCTTGTTCCTTGTTTGTGTTGTGTTGGTTGACAGCCGCTGGTACATGAATCACAAGCAGGGTCAGGGCACCCTGCTGTTCAAGAATGGCGATGTGTATTCGGGCGGCTGGGCGCGGAGCAAGCGCCACGGCCACGGCGTCTTCATCCGCGACAAGACCTACGAGAGATATGACGGCGAATACCGGGATGACAAGGTGAGCGAGTCAGTCAGTGAGGCAGGCAGACGGGCTATCATTCACACGCACGCTACCGATGGCCATGGCCGTGTGACGTGACTGACGTGACGTGTGGGGGGTGTGGTTTGTGTCTGTCTGTCTGCAGAAGCATGGTTATGGTGCCGAGGTGGATGCCAACGGTGTACACTACTACGGCCAGTTCCAGTTCGACCACAAGCACGGATCGGGCATCACGGCCGGACCTAGAGGTAGGTACACGACACAACACAACACAACACGGCACGGCATGAGTGACACACTGTACTGCGCCCCCCCCCCCCC